GGCTGCATCTGGCCCCCGGGCCTTAGGTTGCCTACCCCTGCTTTAGGAAGACAGATTTAAAGTCATAGTCTGACCTACGTTTTTGCTGCTCTGCTGATGAAAGTGAACTCTAACAAGTTCAACTTTCTCATCTGCATATTTTAGTTTACCTTTAAAAGGGCTAACACTCTGGAAACAGGAGACATCTACCTTAGACAAAATGAACTAAGCCAAAAAGGTGTGCAACATTAGCCTAGGGAATGGCATCCATTTGGGCAGAGCCGTGTATGCTTAGCTGAGCACTGTTTTAGACAAAGAAAAGCCTAGAGCAGAATACATACAGTTGAAGCTGCACTTATATTACAATCAATATATGGATAAACATATTACTCAGAATTCAAAAAGTTACTGCGTACAATGGCACTAACACATAGCTAAACTGCAAATGTCCCACAAACCACCTAACAAACTGACAAACCTAACAAACTGAATGGAAGCAGCCAAAACAAACAAACAAACAAAATTAAAAATAACTCTGATGTTTTGATGCTAGACATAGGTTAAGCTCTATGGAAACGAAGTAGCACCAACAGCTGTTGTAGAAATAGCAATTTCTATTACAACCTATGAAAAATGTTTTTGTTTTTTCTACAGGAGAAAAGGATAAACTACTCCTGCAATGCACTATAGTCCCACAACTTCTTCTACAAACAAGCTAAATGTGGATATCTAGGATCCATTTGTACAATTCCTATTCTATGTAATTTGGTTCTTATTCTTACAGCAAATTTTATGTTTTCATATTGGCAATATCCTATAATTTCCCCAAAAAATTAAGAAACTTTGAGCATGATTAAATTGGAAAAGTGTGTTTCAAATTTACAATTTCTGAATGGGCATGTTTTGAAACAAATGCAAATGTCTATGCAGAGGTGCCCTGGATCTGCTACAAGCAGTGGATCTTCAGGAAATCATAAATCTGTGTATTGGCAGTAGAGTTTACATATAGAGAAAGAAAGGCAAATGTAATATCCAGGCAAGTCTCTAAATAAATAGATCTATGTAAGAGATTTCAAGTTATTAAAAGCCTCAAACATACACACCCACAACTAGCAATATAAAATATGATGAGAGGAAAAAGAGTAGAGATAGAGAAGGGAGAGGAAAATTAACTAGAAAAGCAAAAGGTCGTGATGACACTAACCCTCTGTCGAAAGGATCAGAAGAGGAAACAGTAAGAGACTTGAT